TCGCAATGTATTACAACATCGCGTTCTCGTGCGGGATGTCCCCACAATGTGTGCAGGAAGCGCGCTCTCGCGTGGGATTTTGCGTATTTTTTTTTGACGCCGCTCTCCAGTCAGGAACCACGCTCTCGCTTGGACCGCTCTCACGATTTATTGGAAAGGCCTGACGGCCGGTGCCGCCGACCCTGATCGAAAGGGCTAGGAGTGGGAGGAGGAGGAGGAGGAGGAGGAGGAGGAGGAGGAGGAGGAGGAGGAGCAGGAGCAGGAGCAGGAGCAGGAGCAGGAGCAGGAACAGGAGCAGGAGCAGGAACAGGAGCAGGAGCAGGAGCAGGAGCAGGAGCAGGAGCAGGAGCAGGAGCAGGAGCAGGAGCAGCAGGAGCAGCAGGAGCAGCAGCAGGAGCCAGCAGGAGCAGGAGCAGGAGCAGGAGCAGGAGCAGGAGCAGGAGCAGGAGCAGGAGCAGGAGCAGGAGCAGGAGAGGAGCAGGAGCAGGAGGAGGAGGAGGAGGAGGAGCAGGAGCAGGAGGAGGAGAGGAGGAGGAGGAGGAGGAGGAGGAGGAGGAGGAGGAGGAGGAGGAGGAGGAGGGAGGAGGAGGGGAGGAGGAGGAGGAGGAGGAGGGAGGAGGAGGAGGAGGAGGAGGAGGAGGAGGAGGAGGAGGAGGAGGAGGAGGAGGGGGGAGGAGGAGGAGGAGGAGGAGGAGGAGGAGGAGGAGGAGGAGGAGGAGGAGGAGGAGGAGGAGGAGGAGGAGGAGGAGGAGGAGGAGGAGGAGGAGGAGGGGAGGAGGAGGAGGAGGAGGAGGAGGAGGAGGAGGAGGAGGAGGAGGAGTAGGAGGAGGAGGAGGAGGAGGAGGAGGAGGAGGAGGAGGAGGAGGAGGAGGAGTAGGAGGAGGAGGGAGGAGGAGGAGGAGGTGGAGGTGGAGGAGGAGGAGGAGGAGGAGGAGGAGGAGGAGGAAGTGCATCCTGTGTGTGCCCGCTCGAAGAAAGTGCGCCCCGGGAATGTGATATTCTGAATTGGGACGTGCTCCCGGAAGAGGAAGAAGTGCATCTCGGGCGTGCCCGCTCGAGGAAAATGCGCCCTAGGGGGGCGGCATTTTGACTCGGAACCCGCTCCCGGGACGCCTCTGCGGGAGGAGGAGGAGGAGGAGGAGGAGGAGGAGGAGGAGGAAAGGAGGAAAGGAGCAGGAGGAGGAGGAGGAGGAGGAGGAGGAAAAGGAGGAGGACCAGGAGGAGGAGGAAGTACATCCCGTGCGTGCCCGCTCGAGGAAAGCGCGCCCCTGCGGGCGTCGTATCTGCCCCACGACCCCCCCCCCCTCCCCCCCCCTCCCCCGTGCGGGGAAGGGATCAAAGGGAAGGGGCTTCCCTTCGACTCCATTAGGACGTCGTTTAATTTCGCTTTGGGTAGCGCGCTTGAGGAGGAGAGCCCTGGGAGGGGGAGGACGGAGACGACGGAGACGACGAGTCGAACGGAGAAGCCCCTCACACACGCCAACAGGGTCGGCGGATTTGGGGATTTCGGTATCGTTCGAAACTTCTTCGCGATTCATGCAGGGGTCGCGCTTCAGCAACCCGCCTGCCCGACCTGGCTGGCCGCCTGGGCCCGCCGTCCCAAGCCGCCACCCGCCCCTGAGGGTCTACCCGCCAAATCTGCCCGTCTGGTTCTGTCACGTGCTTTCTGCTCCTACCCCCTCTACTGCTAATCTTTCTCCTGTTCCATCCTTCCCCCTCCCCCTTCCATCCGTTTTCTCTTCCCCTGTTTCAGGGAATGCGTAAAATGCACGTGGCAGGTAAGAAATGCATACACTTTTTATGGGGGGGGGTACGATCGGAATCACAGAGGCGGCGACCGAGGGTTTGGGATGTACATAATGGATAACACGCGGGAAGATGGGAGCCAACAGTCTTACAATGATTGTTATTGGTGTTGTGAGGGTTGTTGATGTTGTTGTAGTTGGTGTTGTTGTTGGTGTTTGTGTTTATGTTGTTGTTGTTGTTGTCTGGAACCGTGGTTGTTATGGTTGCTGTTGCAGGTGTTGGTGGTGTTGATGTTGTTGGTGATGTTGCTGTTCTTGTTGGTGTTGTTAGCGTTGTTGTTAGTGTTGTTCGTGTTGCTGTTGCTGTTGGTGTTACTGTGTGTGTGTGTGTCATCGTGTGTGTGTGTGTGCCTGCGCGCGCCCTCTCGCTGCGACTGCTCGACTTGCTCCCCTTCGCCGCCGCAAGCGAGGCCGCGACCGCGCAAAGAGTGTGCATGCGTGTATGGGTGTGCGTGTGTGTGTGGGGGTGCGTGCGCGTGTGTTTGCATGTGTTTGCGTGTGTGTGTGTGCCTCTGTGTCTGTGTGTCTCTGTGTCGCTGTGTCTCTGTGTCTCTGTGTCTCTGTGTCTCTGTGTCTCTGTGTCTCTGTGTCTCTGTGTCTCTGTGTCTCTGTGTCTCTGTGTCTCTGTGTCTCTGTGTCTCTGTGTCTCTGTGTCTCTGTGTGTGTCTCTGTGTCTCTGTGTCTCTGTGTCTCTGTGTCTCTGTGTCTCTGTGTCTCTGTGTCTCTGTGTCTCTGTGTCTCTG